AGGTCCTTCTCCTCCTCTCCTCCTCCTCTCGTCTTCTTTTTCTTCTCTCCTCCTCCTCCTCCTCCTCCTCCTCCTTTTTCTTCTCTCCTCCTCCTCCTCCTCCTCCTCCTCCTCCTTTCGTCTTCTTCTCTCCGCCTCCTCCTTTCTCCGCCTCCCAATTTCATCGGTTTTCTTTCACAAGTGTCGGGAGAGTGCGCTGAGAACTGCCTCGTCTTCTTCTTCTTCTCTCCTCCTCCTCTCGTCTTCTTCTTTCCTCCTCTCGTCTTTTTTTTCTTCTCTCCTACTCCTCCTTTCGTCTTCTTCTTCTTTCCTCCTCTAGTCTTTTTTTTCTTCTCTCCTCCTCTTCCTTTCGTCTCGTCCTTCTCTCCTCCTCCTCCTCCTCCTCCTTTCGTCTTGTCCTTCTCTCCTCCTACTACTCCTCCTTTCGTCTTGTCCTTCTCTCCTCCTCCTCCTCCTCCTCCTCCTTTCATCATCTTCTTCTACCTCCTTTCTTGATCTTCCTCTTCTTCCTCCTCCTTTCATCATCTTCTTCTTCGTCCAATGGCGGGCGGTGGCAGCGACATTGGAGGGGGGAGTGGCGGGTCTGGAAAGACGAGAGGCAAAACGGCAGCAGACAAAGGAAACGGAAAAGTTGCAAGCACCTCCACCACACCCGCATCGGCAGTGACCTCGAAAGACCTCACGCCGGCAATGGACCCTTCGCTGTTCGTTCCACAGGACAAGGCGAGGCAGGACAAGCTGCAGATTCCCAAAGACCCCACGCCCGCAATGGACCCTTTTACCCCCTTGTCAACCCCCCCCTCCCCCCTCCCCTCAAACTTCCTCCCCCCCCAACACACACATGCCTTTCACAAGTTTCTCTGTGGATTCGGGCTCCTCTCAGTGAGCGCACTCCAACTCCATCTTCAAAAAAAAAAAAAAAAAATCTGGGACGTTTTTTGGCTCGTCTGGTTTTGCCGGACGGAACCCCCCACAGTCCGTCTGGCCCGGTCCGTCAGGCCCGGTCTGTCTGGACCGGGCGTCGGCCTAACCCAGATATATACCCCTCTCTCTCTCTCTTCCATTGCTCCTCCCTCTACCCCTCCCCTCCCTTCTTTTTTCCATCTTTGTCCTTCTGGAATCTGACAACCTGGCCACGGGGCTGAGACACCCTCACACTACCTCTTCCAAGAATGTATACAATTGCATTTCACGTCCAAAGCTTTGTCTTGCTGTACCTCGTGTGCCAAATTGAGCCACTGGGCTCTTGTCGCGCCCGCAGACAAGCACGAATGGGCAGGCCTGGAAAAAGAAAGGTCAAACATGCCTTGAAAATGGCCCAGACTGACAGTTGACCAAAATGTCAACAGTCAGCTCGTGGACCCAGGCCCAGATCCGAGAAGTCGAAGCCACCACTTAAGATTTCCTGGCCGTCGATCTGGGATGATCTAACAGTGGTCTGCAGATTCTGGAAGATTCAGGCCTCAAGTTGTTCAGACCGAAACTGGGACAAATTGGATGATCAGGGCCCTCACATGGACCGACACTGACCCTGAACAGGCAAGTCAACACTAGATCGAGTTGACCTTGCCACTGCGTGGGCATTCAGTCTTGTGAGTTGCTTGCGGCTGCGACACTGCATGTGAGACTTTAGAGGGAGTGCTGGCGCCAGGCTGCTGGATGGGTGCCAGCTGGACACCATAGTACAGATAGGGAGAGGGCGGCCAAGGCCGCGACCTTGAGGAGAGAGAGAGAGAGGGTGTGGGTGATGTGAGTTGTCGTGCGTACGTACCTGATTTCTTCAGAGGAGCTGCTGCCGATTCTGATTGCTGTGGGAGGATCGTTTATCTGCGAGAGGCTGGTTCTACATCATCCACATGTCATACTGAGTACAGAGTCCTGACGTGGCACATTGAGCACAGATTACTGACGTGGCACATTGATTACAGATTGCTGACATGGCAGATGTCGGGGAGCCTGAAGGAGAAGAGGGACTTGTTTGCTGTGTCACACTTTTCCTTCCAACTGTTTATTCTCCCCCTCCTCCCTTTTCCGGGTACTGTGGACGTTGAGACTTTACACTTGGGAATGAGGAATCATTTACTTCAATGACTTGAAATTTGATGGACTTGTTGGATTGATTATCTCAGGACATTGCACGACATCGGTATCTGCGACATGTTTGGATGACGAGACTGGGTCCATTACAATTTGGTATCGGAGGAAAGTCACCTCATCTCGCCTATTTGCTGCTCGAGATCGCGCGATAGAAGTTGAAGATCTCTCTCCAATAGAGTGCTGACGTGGAACTTGCAGAGTGGTTGTAACCATATGCTCGTGTCCATGCGGCACTCACTGGCTGGTTCCTGCAAGGGAATGCATCGCCAGAATAGTCTCTCTCTGAAAGGGTTGCTGATGTGGCAAACGCAGAGTGGTTCTTACCATAGGCCTGCGCTGATGTGGCACTCACTGGTTGGTTTCCACGAGGGAATAAATCGCCAGTAGATGCTGTGCTGATTGAAGAGCGCTGAAGAGGACGGCAGAACCAGTGCTGGACTAGCATACTGGCGAGAGCATTGTCCACGTGACATTCTGTCGATAGGATTGCTTATGTGGCATACTGGCGAGAGCACTGCCTATATGGCATACTGAAGAGAGAACTGCTGCAGTTGTTGAGGATAGACTGACGAGGAACCAGAAGAACAGCGGGATGATGTGTCCCGATAAGTGCTGATATGAGCTAGGCCTTTGATTGGCCTTGAACTGAACTTACCTCGTTGATGTATTGATTGATGGACTTGTGCAGGTTTCTTTTTTCTTTCCTTTTC